TGAAACAGAGAGAACGTGAAGAGAAACAGCCCATCGGGAAGAATAGTGAAAGAAGACAGAAATGAAACGAATTTTCGACAGAACAAGATATGGCCTCAGAATGAATTCAGATTTTCCGAGATCACAATTGGAATTACAGTTTGATAATTTATATTCTTATACTCTGCATGTGAATTTTTGGCATATGTCTACCGTATCGACTATTCAGTAACAAATAAAAGCAATCGATGCACAATACACACTACCGTCACTTAGGTACTTCTTTTTGACAGAATGTAAGTTCACCGATAAATAAAGGGTTATGCAATAATTATATTAGTTGCTATCATAGTAGCTAAGTATGGTAAAACATTACTTTACAATAAAAAGAATTTTTACAGTTCATAACTGTTTTGTTATTAATTTTTACATTTTTTGCCAAATAATCAGCATTTTTCTAAACCTCAAAATATTCAATCGGAGACAATTAAAAAACTGATAAAAAGGCTATCTTGAGTAATTATAGCAATAACATCTAAAATCAGAAATTACGATACGTCTTCGAATAGCGAATTCAATTTTAATATGCTACAAGTCTTTAACACGTAAACTGTCAACATGGTCACCAGTGACATTGAATTACATGAAAAGACATTAAATTTGTAATCATTAGAATTTACAATTTCATACGTACGATTATTATTAGCATTATTAACAAAATAATGAATGCACAAGCCAACACAAGTAAATATTTATATATTTAGTAAAAATTTGGACAGTTAAGGAATTCATCGAATAATTTAATAATAGGTAATAAAACGGTAATGAAGATTGCTTTTAGTCACCAGTTTACGTGTTTTAGTAACCCTTATGTACCTACTATTACCACTCATTTACCAAGCGTCCCGATAGATATGAGAGGTAGCGTACAAATGTATACTGGTTCTTCCATGCGCGGCAGGATGGTAGGAAAGAGTAAGTACGTGTGCATTCGTACAAATCCGCGTAGTTGTTTCTACGCGGGTATTACAAACGCATTTGTCCAAAGACTATCCCGCCGCAACGATTTCACTTGCGCAAGACCGAACACGCTGAACCGTACGGCAGTCAACTTTTCCTTAACCAGCTATACTAATTGACCAATAGAAAGTGGAGCTCTAACGATTACTGTGTTGACAATCGCTTCCCATTTCAGAACATTCGCACGGGGTCGAGTTAGGTCTCTGCGAAGAAGCCAGATATTACTTCTAACGATGACCACAGTTAGCATCGTGACGGACAGAAACATAATTCACCGATCTAGATAGTCATCGTAAACATCTTTGAAGGTATACGTTCCTGACACGGTTAAGCGATTATTGACATTTAGTAGTTAACGTATTTGCTACCAGCGTCATAAGCAGTCACTCACAGAAATATACATATATTTGCCCAAGCCGTACCAAACTGTACCTATAAAACACGATGCACATTTAATCAATATTGAATATCAGAATTGCCAAGTGTATGTAGTATATGATTAATATAGTTTAGATTAAGATGCATTCAATTGAGAAATTGCTTATAGTTTACTTAAAAGAGTATTATTATCAGTGGAAATAGTATAAAAAGTAACGAAAAGTAACAGTCCAATGTCAATATTTATTTTATACTAACCTAGTTAAAACAGTAAATTAATACGCTACCGGATATCACAGTAACCTTACTATAAGTTGGAATTCGTTGTGCATTAATCAAGTTAGATTTTTTGTGAAATTCCGTGTGAGCGTTATCGGACAATTTTAGAGGTAACAATACCTTCTAAGTAAACTGTGCGTAATTAATCTAGAGTATATTAATCAAGGTTTATAATAATGTAAGTTATAATTGTTTGATTTTGGCTGTGATGTTATCTAAATACGTGAAGTGTGCAGGAGGCCTATGGAATGGGCGCGACACTTCTCTATGTGTGACACTAATAAATACTGATATATATTATGATATTCTCTTACATTCTATGTTATTCGTTATATCTTTTTAATACTTACAGTGGATGATCAAATTATTACGAACACTTCCAAGTAGTACCACTCATTTGAATTTTGATCAAGAACGGAATTGAAAATACACTTATTAGTACCTTCTTTATTACAAGATATGTATATTGTTATATTTTTACTGATATATAACAACAATTAAAATTTCTCAAAAAATATATACATATATCGATATTTCGTCACGCCACCCTTCGCAGCTATAATACAATTCCAATATTTTTTTGACACAAAATAATTTAACAGTGTTAGACTAAATAATAATCAACAAAGGAAACATAAATCGACAATAACAAGTCGTACTTACGAATTATATTATTAACGGTAGCACAATTTGGTAGCTTGTTATTGTACAAATATGCGTCTTACTGTACACTGATTACTGAACATACCAAAATATAGTTAAATTGTGCATCTATATGTTAAGAAGAAAAGAAAGGGTGTACTTCATAATTACTGAAGTCATAATAACACCAGAAACAAGATATGTAGTTTCTGCATCTGTTCATCACAATTTGATCATTTACTGTAATCAAAAAGATAAACATTTTTCGCAGTTGATAACGATCAGTTGCATAACGTGACTTCCTTCTAAAGAAAAGTAAATAACTGGACACAAGCAACCGCTATGAAAGATTAGTTTTCAAGTGAATAACAAAAAAATTCTTAACGATCTTGTCTAACAAATGTGCTCAATTATATAACAAAGAATTGTAATTGTTATTATAAAGTAAATAGCTTTGAAATTATTATTACTTTTAGCAACTAATTATTTGCTCGATTCCTTGCTTCTTTTAGTAAATATAAGTTTCAAACCATACGTGTAATTAACCTGTCCGTCAAAGCAATGGAAACGTTGAATCACGAAATCAGGTTTGAAGTATAAAAATGACAGATTCGAAGAATGTTTGCAATTTATTGTTCTGAATTAATGAAATGTCGAAAAAGATTTAGAAATCAAGTCTCGAATCACGTATAACGGCTTCATTTGTGGGAATTCTCAAGTCTATTTCTTCGAATGCGATGAAAATACATTAAGTTGCTAATGTGTGCAGAGAATATAATTCAATCGAGCACAGGCACGTCAAATATAATTACAATTTCACCGTTTCACTTTGCTTGCGTCCGTATAAACATTACCAGCCGTACATTGGAGAAAAATGCTTTAGGAAGAATTCAAAGGACATTCATGTAGTTTCCAATTACCGCAATGCCGCAACAATTATTCGAAGTGGTTGTCAATTCAGGTGTTCTTAAATTACGCGCCGTTCCCTTTAGACATGAAGATCCTACCCAGATTCTAAAGTTACTGTATTATCTAAACTATATCAATTTATGGTTTAATGTTTTCTTGATGTGAAACATATAAATGAACCACTTTACATATATTTTAGTGCAACATATGTATATAACGTAAATACAACTTTTTATATTGTATATTGTATTAGGTGTACCACTATGTAATACATTATTTTTTGTGAAATAGAATATTTATATTTCAGAAAATTCAAAGTCTATGTTTTATCAGCGATAGACATTCTCCCCGTCCAACATCCTGCGCCATTTTTGAAAAAGAAAACAGCGGGAAAATATGAAATCAAAACACGTTTTCGATTTGGTGAAAATAATAGTGAAATATTTGTTGGTGGATTTAATATTAATACATATAACTTTACTGATTTTTAATCAAATTATTTTGTTGAAAGTGCTGTTTATCAATAAATAAATCTTGAAGTTTCATTTGAAAGTAACAAACACGTACGACTCCGAGTTGCACAGTGTGCAAACGAGAAAGGGAAGACCACTTATTATTCGTAAGCTATCCGGTTCGCGTGACCATATCGATACCCTTACGATCCCGTTCGTCCATTTCTCACACGGCCAATGGATTTTCGCCTGTCGGACTAATTGCTGGAAAAGCTGGAGGTGTACGCTGCCGACTATCGATATGTATACGCATAGGCGAAGGCGTTTAATATTTGACGTCACCCCCGATGGAAATGGCAATTATCGAGATAAACGTACACTCGCACGATATTCCGCGATGTCATAAAGGTCCACCTCTCCTTTTTCCACACATTCTCCCGGGGAAACCGGGACTACTACGAGCATTGAAATACCAAAGTTGCCACTCAGCGCCATCACTTATATTTATCTCAATATCGACGGACATACGCGATTTTTAGTAATTTTCTTTTACATCCAAGATATAATTACATTCTAACGTCTGGAAATTTATTGCAGTGGAATTACATTTCCAAAAAATCGTATCGATTTGGTACGTTGACATACACAATTCATAAAGTAGAATCACGATTATAGTCGTATATAACCTGATCGCGTAATGTAATTAATATTTCTGCCGAATGTCTCTCTAACACAGAAGGAAAATGTGAACCCTTTTGCTACGAAAGAATTTTCTTCTTATTTTCAGAATTTATATGGAAATCGTCAAAACACTGAATCTTACTACATTGAACTCATATCGTTTATTTATCGATGAGCGCCTATTTACATTTTAGAGCGCCTGTAGGCCCCAACTGGTTGTAGCGAGCAATGTGAAATGAGTGTCAATAGGCGCCAACAGTATCAAAACGGTTAACTAACTGACGATTGGCAGGATATAAACCACGGATTACCAATGGATAAATGATGAATAATTCTTACGAACTTTAAAGATAAAAGTATTCTGATCTGTCAATACATTAATTATGGACGGATATAATTCATTTCCATTAGACATAGGATTAATTACCCATAAGTAACTTTTCGAATTTTTGCAAATTTTCAATCTAGTGTGATATTTTCATTTTTAATACTACACATTATTTGTATGAATACACCCATTATGAATTTCTTAAATTTATTGTTGAACATATTTATTTTGCTTAACTAAAAATTATCTCGTGACAAACAATTAACTTTCATGTCAAGATAGTAAGATGATAGATATTGTATCGAATACATGCAGCATGCTGAATGTATTACCTGATCTTTTTCGACGAAGCCCATAAAGGAGGTCCTTTCTATCTCGATCGGCTGACCATGCCGATCATAAAGTGCGATCACAAAGTGGAAGAAATTACTCTTCCTCAAATTGCTCGGTGGTTGCTTCTCAAAATGAGCTCTGCCTACGCCGACCCTGAAATTGACAAACAATACGGTACTTTTACTATTTCGTTCAGGGATCGCTACAATGAATACAAGAATTTCATACAATCTCAATCAAATCGATAAAATCATCTGTATTTCTATTTTTAAGTTTAAAATCAAATTGTTTTACATTCAAAATTAGAAATAAGTATTTAATAGAAATAAATTCCTTGCAACAGCCACTTCTAATCTTAAATCACGTAAATACAGTAGGTACTTATTTTGCAATCTTAATATAAACGTATTCGGATTATTCAGTCTATCAAGGAATTCGTATCTCAATGTTGAGAAGAATATTTCTTGAAAAATATTTTCTTCCTTCCGTAAATTGCAAGTGTTTTCAAATACATTTGCTTTCACACGCGCTCGCGGGAGGAATTACAAGCATTTCGTTACGATCGACGAATGCGAAAAGAGCGCGCGCGTTCCATGTCGCAAAACGATCCTAGATACCAAATTCGGACGTCAAGAGTGAGATTCTCTGTCGTAGGGTCAAATAGGTACGTTCTACTCGACCTTGAATGCAATAAGAATGCCCAAACTGGTAAGAGGAAAGACAAACGAGGTTGTCCGTGGGGGAGCGCGCAGGTGGCCTCGACGCCTTAAAATCCCATTAAGGTCTCATGTGCCGAGATTAGGCCACCGGACTCCAATGCCATCTTTGAGTAATGGCACGGAAAGTCCCCTTTTCGAGTGTGCTGCTTCACATAGTCCGCGCGTGCGACTATACATATACACTCGGATTGATCCCGCAAAACATGATTCTTCACTGAGCTTCATGCCACAGTTACTACGGCCTTATTTCTTGCAATCGCATACACTACCGACAGCTCACTTCTCTTTCTCTTTAAAGAATATATCACTTTGTTTTCAAATATACACTGTTTTGAATCGGTGAAAGACAAACTTTTTGAACAGCAAGGAAATTACGCAAAGTTGCTAAATTTAACTGGTTGTTTCACAGACATAAATAATGGTAAATGAACTAATAGAGTTTATCAAATAATTTTATATCATTGCTGTAATAAGTTGGGGAAATTGGAAGATTTGTGTTAATTGAATGTAGGTACTAACATAAGTCCATAGTACATATGTTTCTATTGCAGTGTAATAGAAGTTCTTGGTACATGTACTCTATTTGTTTCTTTTTCGTGTAATTATAATCTACGTACTTGTAACCACAAACAAACATATATTACAAATATTTCATACAAATATGTAAGTAGAACATTTAATCGGAGATCAAAGGAAATTCAACTAATACAACTTTCATATTCAGTGGTATATCGAATCGCAAGGAAAGTGTCACAAATCGAAAATACGTCGTTTTTCAGGAGAGCGACAAGAAACAGATTCATTACATAGCATTTCATATATTAAACAAAGTAACAGACTAGTGTCACCTGGTTTGAAGTATTGGACTTCGACTGACGACATTTTTCTGGAATGATGATAAATGTACGTATTGGAAGATATTTCACGCAATAAAATGAAAATTGAAGTTTTGTTATTTGTGATACTTCTGCGGGTTCGCGATATGTTTTAATAACGTTCCATACATTTTACAATAATAACATTTCGGCAGTACATAAATATAATACGAATCCCACCGGTTTCGCAATAACAAGCCAATCATGGCTTAACTTACAATAGAGAAATATAAATGTTTCAGTCTTTTAAGACGTTTTTCATAATCGAATAGACGGCAGTACCTGGTACTAGACAGACCCCCCACTCATCTGTCTTTAGAGGTTTTTTTTTTCGAACGGATTTTTTAAAACTATGCTGGTCTCCTTACAAACCACCAGTGTAAACTACTGTAACGTTTCACTGAATTTTTCTAAACTGGAATGGTGCGTAAAATTTTTGAAATTCTGGATCCGCCATCTACAGATTAAACACACGGAAGACCATGAAAACAAGCATGAAGATCAGAGAAGAATTTCGATCCTTCCTTTTATCTGCAAAAGATACGGTGTTTTGAATCTATTCTTCTCGTGTGTAGATGACAGTGTAGAAGACACACCGAGAAAAGTAATCGTCGCTCTAATACGCGATCCATCAAAGCGTGTTAAATGATAAACGCGCGCGCGCGCGTTCGTGTTGCTTCGGTTAAAAACTGCCGCGGAGAAATCGCATTATCGGGTGGCGTGGTGTGGGCGAGAGCGGTACCGCGATCGCAGAGTGGCGGTTGCGGCGTGGTACCGGCGTGAAGCGATAAAACGATCGCGCGCGCGCGCGCGGAATGCCATCACGACGGACTCTCGGAGCGGAAAACTGAATCGACTGGACCGAAAATGAATAGCGGCAGTTTTGCAGCACATTTGCGAAATAAATGATGGTATCGGCGGTGCGTTTGTCACGGGAGGCGTCGAAGAGAGGGTCCGCTTTGGAGGGATGGAGGGCACTGGGGTGGCAGAGAGGCCGGGAGGGGAGTGATGTACTGCCCGTGTCGATAATTATCGGTGGCTGATTAACCGGCCGCCGGTTCGCGCCCCATAACTCTCGACGTCCGATTATTTTGCCCTGTTTGCCATGCACCAATTCCTATATAACGTGTAGGCACGTCCTACCGTTGCCGTTACATTATCACCTGCGCGACGGTGCGGTACACTACCGCGCGCGCATCTTTTTGCAGAACCGTTGCGGATCCGCGGGCCACCGCGGTTACGTGTGGTGTCAAGACTATGTTCGTTAAAATGATAAGAATATGCAATATCTCGTAGACGGAACGCCGCGATGATTTTCGAGTCTGAGCACTTTCATTGTTCATTTCAATTTTATTAAATGAAACGCGGATGAACGCGGAGATTCAAAGAAGTAACGACGTATGGTGATATGAAAACGAATTGATTAAAAATTACGTCAGATAGCTGGGAGCATATCAATATTTGTGTAATATCTAGATAACACCTGTAATATTAGAACTAAAGTCCAGCCAGTATCCCAAAGTTTTCAGAACGCATGTTTGATGCGACCAGTAAATGGTAAATTTATAATAATGCAACTACATATATTCAGCTCAAGTAAGATGTTAATAAATATATAATATCTTCAGCTGATTATCAATTAAGGGCTCTTGCCACTGTCCAGCCTTGAAAATTTGTCATTTTTTAGGAATTTTTCTTCGATGAACGAAATGTTCAACATATATGAAGTGTTCTCTATTTAGTAATACACATAGTGAAAGTATAACGTTTTTTAAAAACTTTTAACAGTTTTTTTTATTTATACATCGCACTAAAGTGAGCGCAAAAAATAACAATTTTTCAAGGCTTCACAGTGGCAAGACCCCTTAACTCTTATTTCCTTCTTAAAACTCATTTACAATTATCAATTTAATTAACAAAATGTTGGTTTCGAATAGTAATATTGTTAACTTAATGCGTGCACTTTTAACAATAAGGTTATTCAAATTGGTACACGTCATACATAAGTAAGTGCGTTGTCATGAAACATTACGTAGTATATTTGAGCACCTGTTAAATTGATTAAAAAAATTGTGTTTTGATTTTCACAAATTTTTTGAGAATAGTCATCATTTTGACCGTCGGAATATTATTGGTTCCAGTAACTTTACAGTGGAAAGTTTTTGGATTCACTCGGGCCCATAATATTTAACCTTGCATGCACATTTTAAACTAAGTTTATCGTTGTAGCGATTGAATTTTCACTAATTCCATTGTTTCTAAAAGTAAATCTGTTGATAAAATTGTCTTTAATGTTACAAAATACCAAACGTCAAGTAGAGAATTTGTACGAAAAAGTAAGCGTGAAAAAGCAATTTATTCTACCAAAAAAAAGCTCAACAGATTTTAACTATTGAACGATTGTTAGGTAAACGTGTTGGTGCGACCCTTAGTGGTTCAGTTAAAGAGAGGTTTTAAAAGAAGGAAACCAGGAAAGATATGTGTAACGGGCATAGCTACATGGACAGTGGATCTACGAGCTGAGGCACGTTAGCGTCCCGGTATGTATACATAATTATAATCACGCAACGAAAGAACGTTTCACGCCAATATTTCTTTATTAAGCAGATATTTTTCGAGTCATTTCATATACTCTCAGCGTGTGCTACGCGTGTCCAACGTTTCCAGGTTATTCATTCTGTCCCTCTGTCTACAAAGCTTACTTCCCAGCTCTGAACTAAATTTCTTGGATAAACGTTACCCTTTCTACATATATTACATTATATAAAATGATACAAGAATATTGAAATATTCATTTTTTCATTAAACAGAGTTGATAATTATTCTAATCGATACACTTAATTTTTTAAAGGCAATTTCAATAAAATGACATTTAAGTAATTATTTGGCAAATGAGTAAGAAACAATTTGATTTAAAGTACTAAATTATCGTAAAGTAGATATCAGAAACACTTTCGCATCCTGAGGTTGATTTCACACTAGCAATTCCTATAGGTACCTACAGGTGTTTCGCTGTGCGACCATTGCGATTCTTTTCACGCTTCGAATGGTTTCTTTATTCCATTTACTCTGGCGCCATTTTCGTATGTATTTCGCATTGTCAGTGTGAAACCAGTGAGAACGTATTTCGAACAACCCGTTTTACAGGTATAAAGTTTTTGTATATATTGGACGTCTCTGTATCTTTTTCGTCGATGGATTGAAATTTACTTCTAACTTTAACAATATTAATTTTTTAATCAATATCTCATTTTACTGTGTACTACACATTCTCATTTTAGAACCCAATATGATATTTTATTATTACAGAACTATAGGGGAAGGTTGCCGAAATTTGACTGTCGCCCTTGCTTGGACCAATACTGTAACTTTCCATGTGTAAGCAGTTTGTGCGGTACGATAGAAAATATGTGTAGTATGATAGTGATGACTGCATTAACTAACTTAGTATATAAGCGAGTCATATTATCTATGATACGGCGCAATTGCGTACACATAACGAGTAATGGTCCAAATTCGGCAACCCTTCCTATATACCTTTCAAATCTTCCAAGTGCAC